AATAGACACCAAGGCTATTTTGCCGGCAAATATAAGGTGTTTTAGAACTAAGAATATATTATTTCTGAGATCGTCAGCGCAGTAGTTGTATGAGCTATGTAGGCAGGACTGTGGTTTGTGACTGTTGTCTTCAGCAGGTGCACCTGAAGGGTATTGGCTGGAGAATCAAGCCCAAGGGCAAGCTTTTGTATTTGCAGAGTCTGTTATGCCTGAAGTGCTTAAAGTATTCAGAGACTTCTATATTTCTTTTAATAATTGATGATGAATAAATGATTTTATCTTGTGTTTTAACAAGTGATGGTGGAAAAGTTTTTAACTCGTCTGAACAATTGTTGGTGAAAATTAAATTTATGTTTAAAATCTGTGTGTTGGTATTTTTATCATTACCTGCCTTCATAATAATAAAAAATATTACAGCTAAAATAAGCAGGTAAGTATTTTACCAAGATTGGTAAAATCACTTTAAAAGAATTTTTGTCTATTTTATCGGGAGCGGCAAAATAGCCTGGTCGACTATTTTATCGGGAGAGGCAAAATAGCCTGGTCGACTATTTTATCGGGAGAGGCAAAATAGCCTGGTCGACTATTTTATCGGGAGAGGCAAAATAGCCTTGTCGACTATTTTATCGGGAGAGGCAAAATAGCCTCTTTCTTCTTATTTGATATATTTGAAAACTAGTACTTTTATTTTTATTTCTATTTTTCTAATTACATTTTTGCGCACGTACTTTCTTTTTTATTTGTACGTATATTTTTGCATATGTACTTATTTGTAGATGGCCTCGTAGCGCAGCGATTATCCGAACAGTGTGCCGAGTCCGTTGTGTTTGCTTTTGTACATTTTCACTCCTCAGAAATCAGATTAGAATCTCTAGTTTGACTTGGTAGCAAGTTTAAGAGAAGGATAATTCTGAATACAAAATTGTTTGGACTAACAACTCCACCCCATAAATAAGGAAAACCAGACTGCAAAGCCTAATGAGTTGCGTCTATGACCCTCTCGTCCATAACAGATTTAACATACATTTTTTCCATTATTTACACTATTGACATGCGAACTATTCTCCTCATCTTTGTTGCTGCTATCACAGCGTTTCGACCGTTGTACCCTACGACCTTCATCTGGGGTATGTCGATCCGGGTAACTTAAAGAGAATTTCGAATTCAATCTTTTATTTAATCAAAGGGGATAGATTGTTCTCGTTCTACTGTCAACGTCTACAGCAGCCAGGAGAAATAAACTACACACAATTTCAAAATTTAATTACGTAATCCCAACTCAACATAAACAAACAGTATTTAGGACTGGTATGGAGTAGGCCTTCCATTTGCTAGTTTCAGTGCTTGTATTCGATTTTTCATGGATTTTATCAAGTTATCAAAAATCGTCTGATTCATATTTTGCCACTCCTTTAGCAATGTTTCTTTAAGGATTGCCACTGACGTGATTTTGGTTTCACGCTCTCGAAGTCTTCGGTCAAAGTGCTCCCAAACGTACTCTATTGAATACGTCAGGACTTTCGGCTACACATGGCAGTGACTTGATTCCTTCCATGACTTTGCTTCTTTGCTCGTATGACATGGCGTTCCATCTTCTTGAAAAAGGTTGACGTTCTTGTCAATTTGATTGGTTTCAAATAGTGGAAGTAGTCCTTTCTCTAATATTTGACAGTATTTTGGACTATTCAACCGCTCGTCAACAAGAGTCAGCTCAGATTTCCCTCCAAACCAGACAGTGCTCCACACCATTACTCCAGTGCCTCCAGGTTTCACGGTCGTCTGCAGACATTCAGTATTCCAAGTTTCATTCTGATTTCTCCAAATATAAACCAGTCTCGAATTCGAATATTGGCAGAATTTACTTTAATCTGAAGAAATTACGGACTGCCAAAATTTATAATCTTTGCTCTCGAATTCTCTCGCCCAGTCCGTACGAAGGTTCCTTTTAACCTCTGAAATCAAGGGCTTCTTTCTTGCAACTCTTCTTTGATAGCCTTGCTCTTTTAGAGTCTTTCTCGTCGCATATGGCGGTATTTCCATGCTGTTGGCGAAATCTTTGATCCTCTGACGACGGTTTCTGATGACTTCCCTATTCAGTACCCTTTTCGTTTGCTCAGACACGATGCTTCATCTTCCTGAAAGTTGTTTCACACGAAAATGGCCTTCTTCATTAAATTTCTTGATAATATTATTAACTGTTTGATGATTAAGCTGGAAAAACCTAGTAATTTCTCTATTTGACTGATGTCATCCTATTATTTTCCCTCATTGAAATTCACTAATTTCCTTACTTCTACGAACTTTCATTGCAAAATATAAATCAACTATCGTTCATAGATGAAAGCAGCTTGATACTAACACGGTATTGTCTTACACAAGCCAAAATTGCTGTAATTAAGGGTAGCTAAAAACTTATCATAGCCCACTGAAGAGACATCTCGCCTTGTTTTCTTTTCTTACTTCTCAGTTAGTACTTCTCGCCCCGTTTCCACTGAGTCCAAGTACACAAATCACTATTACTATGTCACTAAATTTACGAACGAACATTTTAATCCACTTTAATCCACTAGACTATTGTTCCGTGGGACAATTCTGTATGGAGAACTTGGAGCCTTCAACCTAACCTTCCTGCTGATGAGTGCTGTTGTTGCTGTTGTTGCTCTCTCCTTTGTTACAGCTGTTGCTGAAGACATACTTTTTGCCGTCTTTCTTTCTAAATTAACGTCGTCCATGTCGTATTTATTTCTATGCTAGGCCTACAAAAGATTTCTTTCAGGCGTCTAGCTCTCCAGTGTTCCTCCCTGTCCAGTATTTTCACTTCATTCCAAATAGGTTGATGACTACATTTTTCTCTTCAAACATGATCAGCCAGGTTTGATTTCATTGTCTCTCTCTTCGTTGAGGATTTTCGATGTTTAGACTTGCTAGATTAAACTTTATATTCAGCAAGGAATATAGTACACACAGTTCTTGGTCTTCCCAGGATTATTCTTGATTCGGCAGAGATTTCTCCGTAAATTAGTGCTGATTCTGAATATTGACCTTATGTTCTAGGGATCGTAGAACTTTGAATCTTTTCCCATAAGTACTTGACGTAAAGAAGACAGACCATGGCAATTTTCTGGTCCTCCTCCTTGATTCTGCTGTTTCCATCTGCAGACGCGGATGTTATCGTTGCACGTTGTTTCTCATTCTATTCATTTCCTGTTGGTAGGTGTCGTCACATGATTTTCGTAAGGTGTTGGAGACATCGGACTATCCATTTTTTCACACTGTATGGATAGGGGAAATTGAAGTTGAGATATTGTTCCTTGAAGGTTGGCTTGGGATATACAGATGTCTTGAATCCATTCTCTATACAAATTATTAGTACATCTAGCATGGATAAATGATTATTATTTTCTTCTTTCATCGTCTTATTATTACAAGGTCTTATTGAGTTCATTTGGTCCAGCATTATTTGTATACCATTCTGATAAGACCAGAGCATGAATGTGTCATCTACATGTCTCAGCCATACTGTTGGCTTCAGTGGTGCCGTTCTTAAAGAAATTTCCTTGAAGTATTCCATCTATATGTTCGCAATCACTGGTGATAACGGTGAACCCATAGCCAAGCCTTCCTCCTGTTGATATATGTTAAACTCTAGTTGGAAGAATGTCAGTATAGAGAACGTCAACATTTCCACCAGATTATCTATTGGAATGTTAGTAAGTACTCCGAAAGAGGGATTTGATCCCAATCGGTTTCGGACCACCTATAGAGCCTTAATCGTAGGAATAGTTGTAAACAAACTCATCATATCTAAGCCTACCATCCGATTGCTATGGCTGAGAACACCTACTTCGATTCCACAAAGTGTTTTGAGTTCCTGATATACTTTTCTACTAGTGAGTTGACTATATAGGTTTACGTGTATGGATGTATATGTACATTCAATAACAGACCGAAAAATCATTCTACAAAATTTTAAAAAATCGTTAAAAATAATTCTAGTTATTGCCTAATAATCTGCAAAGTTTTCAATAAAATATTATTATTTGATTTTTTAGGATTAAAATTATTTTTTGTCTCCAACTTTATGATTTTATTGTACAGACCAGGGCAGGCGATGTCCAAACAATGTAGGAGGGTAATATATTGTTCCAATGTTTTTTGATAAACTCAAATTGTGTTATACGTGTGCTTTTGCGTCTATATTAAATTGTACACGCACATGTAAGTCACTCTTGTACAACAAAGACATAAGCATATAAATTACATACGCGCATGCAAAAATCACGCGCATAGAGAGTGTGTGAAGGACAGAAGACCATCACTTCTTTTATAATATAAATTTGTACTTGGACTATTTTCTATTTACAATTATGCGATCCGATTTCTAATTTTGTACTTAAATGGTTTTCTATTTCTATATTCAGTTGAACTTTCTTTTTATTTAAAATTATAAAATCCTATTCCAAATTTTGAACAAATACTTTTTTATTTGATTTCATTTTATATTTTCACATTTAATTCTTTGTTTGTTTGCTTGTTTGCTTCTTTCTTTCCTTCTTTCTTTCTTTCTTTCTTTCTTTCTATGTTCCTCCTTTCTTCCTTTCTTTTACGTCCCTTCTTTCTTTAGTTCTTTCTTTTTGTTCAGAATTATGGAATTCTATATTCTTGAGCATTAATCTTCTCACATTATATATATATATATATATATATATATATATATATATATATATATCCACACATATTTTCTTTCTTTCTTTTTACTCTCTTTCGTTTTTTTCTTTTTCTATCTTCTTTTTCTTTTTTCTTTCTTTTTGTCTTTGTTTTTGAAATAGTATTATGAAATAGTATTCCAAATTTTGAACATGTACTTTCTTATTTAATTTCATTTTTTCCTTCTTTTCGCTTCATTCTTTCTTTTTTTCCTTCTTTTTTCGTTCCTTTCGTTCCTTCTTTCTTTCATTCTATTCAGAATTATAGAATTCTATTTATGTTTCTGAATATTAATGTTCTCACATTCTATATATATCTACACATGTTTTCTTTCTTTTTTCTTCCTTTTGATATCTTTTTCTTGCTTCCTTTCTTCTTTCTTCTGTTTCTATCTTTCTTTCTTTTTCTTCATGTCTTTTTTAGTTCTTTCTTTCTTTCTTTCTAATCAAGTCCTCACGGATGGCAATACATTAACAAAGAAGAATGTACTGCTGATACTGGCAGACTCAGTAATGATGACGATGGCGACCACGACGATAACGCCACAACGTAATTACACCACCTCATCCCCCCCCGACTCATCCCCGCCTTCGTCGATACAAAGTTTATTTCCGTTTGGCTGCGGGGTTCGTTAATCAAGAAAATGCGCTAAAAGTCAAAAGAAATGCCACAGTGATTTCCACAAGGAAAATTATATATATATATATATATATATATATATATATATATATATATATATATATATATATATATATATTTAATATACATATATATATTTTAAAATATAGATAAACCTATATATATATATCTTTTATATATAGATATACATACATATATCTTATATATATATATATATATATATATATATATATATATATATATACACACACTTATATATCATATATATATATATGTGTGTGTGTGTGTGTATGTATGCATGTATGTATGATCATTTGTTTGTCTACCAGCTTATCTACATGCTATGTATATATTTGAATATATACGGAGTATGCATATATAAACATACAGATTGATATGTCCATACATACGTGTTTACGTATTCAATATATATATATATATATATATATATATATAATAATAACAACAGACACACATGTATATACACACACACACACACACACACATATATATATATATATATATATATATATAAATGATTTGTAATCTAATAAGTAATATTTTAATAATTCCGGTGTTGTTTTTTGTATATGTTCACCTGTAGTCGCTGCATTTATATATATATATATATATATATATATATATATATATATATATATATGTGTGTGTGTGTATATATATATATATTCTGGCGTTTTTAAATTGCTGGAATTGAAATTGGAATCAGTTCAAAGTAACGTCATCTGTAACAGTTAAACGAACGGAAAATCATGTATCGAATATCGTTACGTACTTATTTTTATATTATACACTCTTCACTAGCACATCTCCCGTTGAGAAATATATCTTATTTAATGTTGTTTGTTTTCTTTCTACTATATTGGCTTCTACAATTTTGAGTATCGTTTTGCAGTGAGTCCTCTATAAGATTTTGCTTCTATCTATTAAAACAGGTCATGTTAAAACTGTTGTTTTTGTGATATGTTGACCAATATGTGAACGAAGTGTACTGACTTTCGACAAGTGACAAGTCAATCTACGAGAGAATGTAGTTCATGTACGGCCAATGTATGAATTTGATGTTCTGAATTAATTATTAGATTTTGGCGACACAATCTTCCAAAGGGCATGAGAATATTTTGAGCTTGTTGATCCTTAATAATAATTAAATTAAACGTTCAATTTCTTTTTTTATAATAAATGATAAATTTAAGGTACATGTTAGGATCAGTAACTGTTATATCCAGCGAATTATGTTCTTAATGGCTTTTTTATCTTATTTACAATCAGGATGCATCTGGTTACAAAAAATAATTCAAAGGTGTTTATTAGTTTTTCTAATTATTGAAAAAATCAATTTTATTTCTTTATCGACAGCATTGTTTGGGGAATTATTTTTCATAAATGTTTGTTTTATGTTTTTCTTGTTTTTTTTTAAATCGGTATCACCCCCATGCAAGGCAATAAACATAATAATAAAAATAAATTGTCACCCATTTCATAATGTGTGACGTCATTTTTTTTACATTTGGGTACGCCATGAGCAAATATGAATGTACGCGAGAAGATTGAAGTTTAAAGGCAGTAAATTCGACCTTGCTAATCGAACGATTCTCTGTGGCTCGATCGGTTAAGAGCACGTCAGGCTAAAGGACGGTTCCGTATAGGATACAGGTTCGAATCCTGTCGGAGAACGAATATTTTCTATGAAAATTTCTCGGACATTCAGGCCGGTAAATGGTGTTTAATATTGTTTATTATATATTTGTATGTATAAAAAGAATGTATAAACATAAAAATGTCTTAAAATAAAGGCAATAAAGCCACTAAGACACAAGGGGGTTAAAAAGTATGGAAAAATGGACAAATGGTAGACTTATACATATGTAAGACGTATGGATATGTAAGATAGATATTTGAGAAAATGATTATCTCGTATGACCAACTTTCTTCGTATCTGACCTAAAAATGGATTGAATATAGCCTTTCCACTTCGTGCCACCTGAGAACATTATACAAAGAAGGCCCCAAGAGTCACTTTTCTAGAGGTTAGCATCAGCCAGGCGGAATAAAGGCAGAGAGAGTGGGTCTCTCAGATAATTAATGGAGAGAAGTGTTGTTTTGGAGGCGTTAAAATTAACAAGCCATCTTTTGCCCCATTTAACGACGGATTTGAGGACGTTTTGGATATCGGCTGCTATATTTACCTTGTCGGACTGATCATCATTTATTATCGAAACACGAGTAAGTGTAGCTTTATTCTTTACAAAATAATATGTCCGAAGAAGAAATCATTTCAGCATCGTTAATCCTGTTTTTCATAACATCTATTTAATATCTGTGAGGATACTTGCTTTGATAATTAAGAACACTATATAGAATTAGGTATCGATATTCGATTTTCCGTTCGTTTAATCATTACAGATAACGCCACACTTATGCGAATGCAGACTGCTCTTTGCAGTTCATTGCTGGCGCGTAAAACAAGAACACGTGTGTGATTTACTGTTCTGAACAGCTAGCCATGGAACAAGACAAGTTAGTTGCCCAGCAACCACCTGCATTAATCAGCTATGTTATAACACAGAATGCCACCCTGGCCTTTCGACCTTGATGCAGGACCGTGATGGTTGGCGCGAAAGACTCCTGAATCTCCAAGCTAGCTCCATTGAACATATATATATATATATATATATATATATATATATATATATTGTCAAACCTAGAGAGCCAGACAAACCTACCAAGGTTTCACCTAAGTGGAGGTTTTCCGAGACGAGTGTAGTTACCTATACTTATAAAGGTCTAGGTCACCCTATCGAGCACTGTTTTAAACCAGTTAATATGGGACGTGTTTGACTAGGTCTGCTCTACTTTTGTATTGAGCACTTTCTTAGTTAGTTGATTACTCGTATCGGGTTTTTTTTCTTTGGACTTTGGACCTGTATGCTGTACGATTATTTTCGACAGACGTTCATGTTCCTAGCTTTTTTTTTTTTTTAAACCTTTTTTTCCTTCGAAATTGATTTGATCATTAGCAAATGAAGAAACCAAAGGTTTTCCGAGACGAGTGTAGTTATATATATATATATATATATATATATATATATATATATATATATATATATTGTTGTAGTATATCTAATAACGATAATGAGTATGCCACCATTCCTCTAAATAAAGTAGTAAATACTGTATGTTATTCTGCAGCTGGAGATTCATTGTGGAATTCACTTGACTCACTTCTAGCAGTTGACTACTTCGACGCGCTGCTGGCGAATCTTATATGCGCTGTTCTTGTCCTACGTATTATCGTCCATTATCAACCTTTGTGTAGCGATTTCAAAATTAGAAATAATTTGTAAAAAGGATTCGAAAGAAGTAAATGTATATTTTTTTAAGGTTTTATTGAAATTTTATTTAAGTTTCCACATGTCCTCCATCATTAGCAATACAAAGGGTAATACGATTTTGCAGTTCACGGAAAACATTTGCCAACTAATTTACAGTAATGCCTGAAATCACATTAGTTATTTTAGCTATCCTTAAAACTCGGTACATTAAACTTTATAACATTTTTTACAAATTATTTCTATCGCAAATACAAATAAAGTTATAAATTTTTTAAAGTGCACACGAACTTTATGGACACCCTGTATATATATATATATATATATATATATATATATGTGTGTGTGTGTGTGTGTTTTGAGTAGCAGTTTTTCAAAAAGAAAAGGAACCTTAGAAACTTTAGAATTGTCTTTGAAATTTATTTAAGGTTATATTGGAAATGCTCGAGAAATCTTCGAAACGTATTTGAATGTTACTCGGCTTGCGCAAATAGTCAATTGTACTTCGCCGTCTACAAGCCTTAGTTAATGTACCGAAGTCAGGAAAATGGGTTTCACATGACCGGCTCTCGTTCTGTTTGGTTAAGAGAAACTCAGTGGGAATTTAGAAGGCAATATAAGAAGACCTAGAAAAAGAAAAGCCTTAAGTAGACGTCGCTGGGAACCAAAATAAAATCAATCGCTGCACACCATTATGTGATCCTGAGGGGTGACTCGAATCTATAATCGTGTGCAGGAATGTGCAGCGGGTTTTTTTTTTCTTTCTTTTTTTATTTTTATAAATAACATCAGTGCGTTTGAGTTGATGGCAGAATTCTTGATAATGAAAATGGGAGAAGGAGTTGGAAAGAACGAGTGAATCCTCCATGCAGGAAGAAGTAATAATTTCGACGACCTTATTTTTCATGAGGCTAAGAGAACGCTTTATCTATCGATCAGTATGCGAAAGGCATCTCGGTTCGGCAATTAGGGCAACCATGACTCATCCTGCGTCTTTCATTCTGTATATATATATATATATATATATATATATATATATATATATATATATATATATATATATATCTATTAGAGTATCGATCGATCGATATTTAGTAAGGTTAGATTAGTATGACACAGGGGCTACGGAGGGAAAATGGGTCTGCGTGGCGTTGAAAGAAAATCGACTGACTGGAAATTTTTACGTCGGCTCAAGTGGACTGACGACGGAGTGAAATAACAAAGTGTACAAATTACTTAGCAGACTGTATAAGGACTTTGTAACCGTATCATTCTCATTATTTATCTATCTATCTATCTATCTATCTATCTATCTATCTATCTATCTATCTATCTGTTCAGTTCTACCTATCTATCAGAGCCTTTCATATCTATCTATCTATCTATCTATCTATCTATCTATCTATCTATCTATCTATCTATCTATCAGACCCTTTCACATCTATCTATCTATCTGTTCAGTTCTATCTATCAGAGCTTATGCATATCTATCTATCTATCTATCTATCTATCTATCTATCTATCTATCTATCTATCTAGTTCAGTTCAGTTCTGTCTGTCTGTCTGTCTATTTATATCTATCTATCTGTTCAATTCTATCTATCTGAGCCTATTCATATCTATCTATCTATCTATCTATCTATCTATCTATCTATCTATCTTTTCAGTTCTATCTATCTGGGACTGACAATAATTTTAGATAAAACCGTTGTCATGTATCCACCTGCCCTTGTTAAAGAATATGTTGAACCGTCTCTGTATGTTTATGTGCAAAAGATTGCAGATACGTTTTTTGTACTTAGGTAGCACTTTGAACAACTTGTGCACCCTTGACGATGTGGTATACCCTTGCGAAGTGGAAGAACTGGCGCTTCTTTTGTCAAACTGAGCGATCGTTTCTGATCGCGACGTTACATCCCACTAAACACAAAAGTTAAATTATATAAGACCTGCGTTCTATCCACCCTTCTCAATGTGTTTGAGACATGGGTAACATATGGGAGACACCTGAAGACGTTAGAACGTTTTCACCAACCGTGTCCGGGAAAAAATGCCGGAATCCACTGGCAGATGCTCATCAATGATATGGCAGTCCCTGATAAGTGCAATTGCATGAGCACTGAAAGAATCATCCTGCAACATCGTCTTAACTGTTGTGGTCATGTGGTGAGAATGAAAGATCAGCGACTTTTGAAACAGCTTTTCTATAGTGAATTGTCTGAGGGGAAGCGTGCACAACACAAACCTAAAACGAGGTTCAAAAATTGTCTGAATCAATCACTGACAAATGCACAAATTACACTTGAGGACTTGTAGAATACTGATTTGGATCAGGGTAGCTGGAGGCGTTCCTTCTAAGCAGGTGCAAGTACATTTGAAGATCAGAGGAAGAAGCATTAGCAATTGAAAAGAGGTCTAAAAGTAGACAAACATTTTGAACACCCAGCGTATGACAGAATTGAATGTGATTTCACATGTCTTCAATGTGGTAAAAATGCCTAAGTAAAGCAGGCTTTAAAATACACCATGCAGGTTCAAGACTAGAAGCTTCCATTTTCACCATAACCTGCCCCATATCGCCGTCTGGCTTTGCTAGATTTGGTTGGAAGTGAAACAAAATCAGAGTAGAAGAAAGTGCTGCTGGCGTGAATTTGTTAGTAAGAGAACCACACGCTTTATTTCATGACTTTCCTCTGCGCACATACGGAACGGGGCAAGCAGAATCCAGTCATGAAAATGCAACGAACTGCTGCTAACTCTGTTATAATTTCGTGTGACACATTCTGTAGCATGTCCATAATGCGTAGCCCTCTCCCTCCGCTGGTTGTGATCCTCATCGTAATGGACGGCGAGAGAAATTACAATAAATATTGTATTCAGTAGCGCACACATAAATGATGTCTGCCTAATTGATTTCGAGCACGAACACTTTCTTGAATTAATCACCATTGTCGCTTTTATGAGTTCTCAGATTTCTAGACACAGTTTATTATGGATTTAAAAAAAGCAAACGCGATGCACAGGTTCACTGGAATTTCTAGATACAGCTTGGCATAGAATATTTTGGCCGAGGGAACGACGATGACTTTTCGAATCAGCTTGTGATTTGGAATTAAACGTACAAACGAAGCGTGTTAGTTTTAGCTGCTAGTTAATTTCAAGCAACAAAAAATAATAAAAAAAGAAAAAGCCAATTCTTAACAATATTAACTACGGACAAGGCCACAATGCGCTAACCATATTCGGAAATTAAAAACATCTCTACAACACACTAAAACATACACATAATGCACACACTCAATTAAGCTGAAAAATTGAATCATCCTTGATGATGGCTAAAGGTATAGCCGAAAGCTCTCGGAACTATAAAACATTTGGACAGTTCTTACACACTATTTGTCCAGAAAAGAAAGCTCTTGTTCGAATACAAGCAAAATTAAATAAAAACTTAACCGTAGTACCTTGTCTGTCATGTTTAATGAAACATGCATATATATGTGTGTGTCTCTGTGTGTATGTATGTGTGTGTGTGTGTTCCTATGTGCATGAAAAAGAAATGTGTTCAGAATGTCACCCGCCATTTTAAATATTTTGGAAACAAGTGGTATGTGCAACCGACGTTACTTTTGTCGGCCTTTTTCTATTTCTCCGCTATACACTCGAGAGATATTTTTTATGTGTTTACGCATAAATTATCATCTTGTTCAACAAGAAACTACCAAATCCTTGAGACAAGACACCAAAGACAAGCACAGAAATATGTTGATTCAAGTGAACCATCCTGCTTCGCATATATGATGTCTAACCAAAAAGTATTGGGACTGTTGCTGTGGTAACGGTGCTAAGTATGTAGAGTGAAGTCACTTGCCACAGATTGACCTGGAACTGTTGCGCATTCACATTGAGTTATAACGCTCTCACTCATATCCGCTGTTTATAGCAGTGCCTGGAAGGAGAGTGTGTAGAGTGTGGCCATCTCAGTAAACTACAAATGTTCCTTTAGTTACCATGGCTTGTGTAGAAGGTTTTGGCTAAGCACAGCATTCCTTAGGTCCGACATCCACCATATTCTCCAGATTTCGCTCCTTGCGATTTTTTTTTCTTCAAAAATCAAATCCCAATTTAAAGGAACAAGATTTCAAGACGTCGTGGAAATCCAAGAGAATCTGACAAGTCAGCTGCTCGCTAAAAAAAAAGGAGTTCCAGGAATGTTTCCCTCAATGGAAACGAGGCTCGATAAGAAATGGACAAAGTCCGACAATTTATTTATTAAAGACATTTTTATGTTTAACGTTCTTTTTTTATAGATGCAAGTATTTAAGTAAATGCTCTGTTTATAATAAACAGTATTAAATAACATTTACCGGCCTGAATGTCCGAGAAATTTTCATAGAAAATATTCGTTCTTTGTCCATTTCTTAATATATGACGTCATTTGTTTACATTTGATACGCCAGAGCAGTTATGAATGTACGAGATTCATGGAAGATTGAAGTTTATAAGCAGTAAATTGACCTTGTCTACCGAACGCTTCCTTTGTGGCCGATCGTTAAGGCACGTCAGCGTAAATGACGGTTCCGTATAGGATGCAGGTTCGAATCCTGTCAAAGGACGAATATTTTCTATGAAAATTTCTCGACATTCAGGCCGGTAAATGTTATTTAATACTGTTTATCATAAACAGAGCATTTACTTAAATACTTGCATCTATAAAAAAGAACGTTAAACATAAAAATGTCTTTTATATATATATATATATATATATAAATTAAAAAAAATGTCTATTAACATAAAATGATCTCATGTAAAACAATTTATCAAATGCCTTAGTCATACACAGAATTAAATTCAACTACAACTCCGATCTAAAGAGTGACACACTTATTAAACGAAAATAATAAACAACTTACTTAGACGGAAAGTTGCTGAGAGTCCCAAAATGAAAATTTGCACGCCAAAAGACTTCTGTTATACAAAATGAATACATATATAATTTATCAAATGAAAATAAAATAATAAAAATAATTATATTAGTTAAAATAATAAAAATAACAATTATTCACTTTCGTTTATTAGGCATTAAATTATATCACTTAGCATCCACCATAGTTTACCTTGATTTTCACGGCCTAAAGAATATTTGTGAGCCATCTTAAATTTTAAAATTGTGAAAACATGTTTCTATAAAATCCTTGCATTTGTCTTGATAAAGTCTATTAGACAATGAATCGAATTGGTAAATAATAGTCTTCTTTTCGTTTTTACACACATGCACACATAGAAACACACGCACAGAAACTTACATATATAAACTTACACACACAGAAACTTACACAAACTTACATACACAAACTTACAACACACACGCAAACTTGCACACACAAACTTACACACACAAACTTGCACGCATACACAGACTTATACACACAAACTTACAGAAACACATACACGAACTTATACACTCAAACACACACACAAACTTACACACGCACACAAACTAACACACCAAACTTACACACACACACTTACACACACACACAAACTGACACACACAAACTTGCACACACACAAACTTATAACACACACATAAACTTGCACACACAATCTTACAACACACACATAAACTTGCACACACAAACTTACACAAACTTGCACGCATAGACAAACTTACACAAACACATACACGAACTTATGCACGCAAACACACACACAAACTTAAACACGCACACAAACTTACACACCAAACTTACACACACAAACTAGCATACACAAACTTGCACACACAAACTTACACACACAAACGTTCGCACAAAAACTTACAGACACACCCACACAAACCTAAACACACACACACACACACACACACACACACACATATATATATATATATATATATATATATATATATATATTCTAAGGTAATGGATTTCATTAAGCAATCCGACAGTTTTTTTTTCAGTTTAAACGTTAAGTGGATTCGCATTTTTGAGTAGAGGCCCCATTTATTTAGTAAACAGTATATTTATTTATTTTCGTCTACTTGCCTGAATATATTAGCGAAATCTACACTGCGTGCTAAATTATTATCGAGATAACTTTTTTCTTATATTTCAAAAACCGTCCAATCAATTCACACGAAATTTTCACACAACGTTGGCAATAATGACCTACGCAATCAAAGAATTTTTCGTACTGATCTGCGCAATGTAAACAAACTGGCGCCATATTTGTTATCAGCACGGTGATTTGAGAGTGCCAAATTATTAGAAAGGTTTAGTAAAATTCCAAGAATTGAGCAAACAAAACGTTTGCACGTGAATGTTTATGATCAAAAGAAGTTAATAAATAAGATAATCAAACAAATAATAACAGATACAAACAAAGTCACAGTTTTAAACAAATTAATAGGGAATGTGCTTTCCCAGTTTTGAAATTACTTGAAGAAGTCGACGATCCATAGAATTTGTTAATTGTAGGATGTCATCTGCTGTAATGCCACGAGATATGTTAAGAATTGCTTCCCAATTGATTGGACGGTTTTTGAAATATAAAAAAGTTATCTCGATAATAATTTGGCACGCAGTGTTTATATTTTACTTTAATAAGTTTTCTCGAGTATTCAGGGCGGCAGACGAAAATAAATAAATATACTGTTTAATTAATAAATGGAGCGTCTACCCCAAAATG